AGACTTTAATTACCCATTTCGATTATAATTTATATCGTGAACACCGGGGAGTTCAACTCTTCAGACCGAAATCTTCTCCTGCATTGAGTTTGTCCTGGATTTATATCTTTCTCGGAATTATCCGTTCCAGTCACAAACTGCTAAGACGTATATATATATATATATATATATATATATATATATATATATATATATATATATATATATATATATAATGCTAATCAGTTTATTTCCGCACGAAAACAGAACTGCTAAAATGAAAAATATGATAATGTTTAAAAGAGGAAATATTTCAATGATAAATAACGTCAAGAAAAATGAAAAGGAAACCTTGTAAAATACGGTTAATGGAGACAAAAGAAAGATGGAGGCTGTCGTTATTAATGTCTTGAGTTTTACTATTCTTTTGATCTTTAAACTGGGTAAAGTTTTATTTAATTTTTTTTCCCTTTTGGAGCGTGAAAAAGGCCTTACGTTGGAGGGAAAGAAGTTACTATAGTATTAATATTTTTATGGCTCAGCATTCTACTTATGTAATATATTTATGTATTATAAATGTAATATGAATGTTAAATGACCTATAATACAATATAAAGTCGTTTGATCAATAAGATCGGAGGAAATATAATCGTTTGTTGAAATAAAAAGGCGAAAATGAATTAAATGAATCATAAAATTGTCTAGACAATGTTTTATACTTCAAAATGGATGGAGATCAAAAAACAATGAAGACTGAGATGTCATTTCGATTATTCTTTTAATCTGTCGAACAAGTTCGTTATTTTCCTTTGACGATACACAACAAATCGGATAACGGCTACAGAAAAGCGGCCATTTAAAGTTAACGGACTTGGGTGAACGACACAGATTTTAATCGCGTTACTTTTGATATCAGACTTATTTATCATTTGTTGAAGGTGCCTTCACCAAAATCATCTCTGAATTAGACCTTACACGAGTTTTTTACTTAATTAGTAGATCAGTGCGTGCAATGGCTCCCTTAAAGTAAAACGTCGATAGAAACTGGTTGCTTGCGTTCTTGTCGAGTGACTTCCAACGATTTTCAAATGAACCACGGCATACGGGATACGCTTACAAACTTAATAGTTTAATTTTACAATCGCATCAAATAATCGAAATCTTTCGATATCATATCACACACACATACGCACACATACAATAATACACACACACACACACACACACACACACACACACACACACACACACATATATATATATATATATATATATATATATATATATATATACATATTATCTTACATTGCGTGTTGCTGTCAGTAAAAAGACCGATCGGATTAGTGTTACCAATGACGAACAAAATGTATTATTATTATTATTATTATTAGTAGTAGTAGTAGTAGTTGTATACGCACACATATATATATATATATATATATATATATATATATATATATATATTAGGTTGGTGCAAAAATAATGACGTAATAATGTCGTTTTGTGACGTATTTTTTAACCTCAAAAACGACATTATTACGTCATTATTTTTGCACCAATTATATATATATATATATATATATATATATATATATATATATATATATATATTAAGCGTTTCACCCAAACAAGGCGGGAAGCCACTAGGACGCAAGGGGTTACAGAAAATTTAGACCAAGATCAGATAGGAGTGATAGAAGAAAGGATGAGGAGAAGGGTGGTGGATAGATCAAGGCAACTGGAGATGTCGATTGACATTATATTTGAATAGCTGGAGATTATAGCTCTCAGGGAACTGGAATAGGGAAGGGAGTTCCACATGCGAGAGGTGCGAGGCATGAAACTATTGGAGTAGAAGAAACGGCTACATTTAGGAGTTTGGACAGTAAAGGGGTGAGAGCGGGATGCCAGCCTCGTAGGGCGCTTGAACTCATGAAGTCTGGGAACCAGAGAATGCAGCTACTCGGAGCAATTGCCATGAAAGTATTTGTAAAACAGACAGAGAGAGGCAACGGCGCGTCTGTGAGAGAGCGACTGTAGACGAGATGCCAGATCAGGGCCAATTATATTGCATATCCGTCTCTGGAGCCTATCAAGAACCCCGAGGTAAACAGAAGGGGCTCCAGACCATATATGGCAGCAACAGAGAGAGAGAGAGAGAGTGAGAGAGATATAAAGTATGGATAGGAATCCGACAAAATCATAGTATAAAGAACAAGTAGGAAACAGATCCCAGTCAAACATGTTTCACTTTATTAAAGCTTCGTCAGAGATCAAGATAGTAATGATGAAAATTAATCTGCGTCTCTTTGCTTTTTATTATGTTTATCGTTTCTGTATTAATCTCTGACGAAGCTTTAATAAAGTGAAGAATCTGTTTCCTACTTGTTCTGTATCCTATCATATATATATATATATATATATATATATATATATATATATATATATATGAATTTGTGGCGCGTTTCATCCGTTTGGAGAACACTGGATGAAAATGTCACAAAAACTTTATCCAAATTTTCTTTCAAAACAGTTCTTGATTTATATTAATTTATGTATCGTTATCCCATATATATATATATATATATATATATATATATATATATATATATATATATATATATATATATATATATATGATCGAAATAAAAGAATAAAACAACACGTTCCTACAAAAATGAGAAATCATACCTTGCCGTTGAATGGACTCGTCCCGAACACCTATGGTTCCGCCATATTCGAACACCTATTAAAGAACAGAAATTGTGCAGCCAAATTTAGTGTTGACTGGTTCACCTTGTTGTCCCGGTCACACTCTTTATTTCATCTTAAGGTTCTGGAGGCACTTTACATCGGGTCCCGCAAGCCTTCTTTGTGTAAACGACGTGAGTGTTTGTTGGGGCTCGCTGTCAATTGTCTCCAGTTCCTTTTGCTATTTTTCCCCCTCAGTTTCCATTCATTGTACATTTTTTGTGTTTAATTTTAAATTAAATCTCCCGTTGAAGCCTGAAGAGCGGGAGCGAAACCGGTTGCTTCGCCCGTTTTTAATATGTCTAGTAATATTAAATTTTACACTTTTATTTCGATCATTAAATTTCGCACCTACAAAAATATCTTTAAAATATATATATATATATATATATATATATATATATATATATATATATGTGTGTGTGTACTATATTTATCATATTTATATATATATATATATATATATATATATATATATATATATATATATATATATAATATGATAAATATGTAGTTTTAAGGTGTGCCATATTTATGGCTTAAAGTGCTCAATATCAGGGATAGAGCGTTTATAAATATGAAACTGGACATTTAGGTCAGCACCTAGATTCAGCAGTCTTAAACGCAGTCTTCAGGCTATCGATTGCTCTGACCATTGCGTTTAAGTATGAATCAGAGTCTATTTTCAGAAGCCATTTTCAAAGAATTTTTTTCATGCTATGCCGGTTTTTTGAAGAGGAAGAATGAAATTTACGTGAGAGAGATGTTAAAGATACCATGGACGGAGTACGTGAAAAAAAATAGGAAGATTTAAATATAGGAACGGCGAAGTCATTTTTTTTGCTAACAATCAAAACTCTGCAACTGAAATATTGGAGTCATGGAAAAAGAAGGCCTAGTGGATTAAATGCTCACAGTGGATTTAATAGAGGATTAAATACATTAATACTTAATATAGCACAACCAGTGGGGGAAACAAAAACAGCGAGAAGACGTCTTGACGTATTTAAATAAATCTTTAATGGAAAGAATGCAAGCTCAAAGAAGCAGTGTAAAGTGTAATAATTACTTACAGAAACAAATGGCGGAAAGTATGCGTAGATATGATAAGCCACATAATGGAGAGAGATTGTGTGTGTGTGTGTGTATATGTATGTGTGTGTGTGTGTGTCTATGTATGTATGTGTGTGTGTATGTATGCTTGTGTAGATATAGTAGACCGGTGAATGAAAATAAATAAAATAATAATGTCGATAATAAGAATAATATGGAGGCCGGATGCGAACGAACTTAAAAAATCTGAATTTTCTGACACGCCTGTGTTCTTTCTCAACGAGAAAAAAATTTATTCACTATCATATATATATATATATATATATATATATATATATATATATATCATACTAATAATCTTATAAATATAAGCAGCTATACTCGTTCGGCAAAACCTTAGGTGCTTTAGTTTGTAAATGAACAAACCAATACCCAAGGGGAAAAAGAAAGAACTAGGAACATGTACGTCCAGCGAAAATTCAGAGTCCAAAGAAAAAAAACCCGACACGAGTAAAGTAAAAATAACTAAAGCAAAGTGCTCAATACGCTAAGTAGAGCAAACTAATTAAACCTAAAGATACAGACAAATCTACCTAGGTTTCACCTACGCGGATCATCAGTTATATATATATATATATATATATATATATATATATATATATATATATATAACAGAAAACTCTTTGTGTCACGACACATCCACAAATGCAACATAGGTAAATTTACAAGAATGCCAGTAGATCAAACAGACGATTGCTCCTACCTTCAAATATAAGGAAAAAAAATCATAGACAGATTCAAATCAGCACTAAACAAATCATTACCCACACACATAATCACATACTATAAACACATAGAGGCAAAAACACATTAATAAGATTATACACACGTACTACACAAAAGGAATGTAGTTACTGTATATATTTTTTATAATTATATAATATATATATATGAAGAACGAATATATACATTTATACTGGTAAAAAAAAATCATACAAGGCGGACGCACATACAGACACACGCACACGAGCATTACACAACATGCAAAGTGTGCGTGTATATATATATATATATATATATATATATATACTATTGACTTGTAATATATATATATATATATATGTATGGAGAAGGAATATATATATATATAGAGAGAGAGAGAGTGAGAGAGAGATATGAGCAGATTCATATATATATATATATATATATATACAAACTCAGATAACATAGATAGATAGATAGATAGATAGATAGATAGATAGATAGATAGATAGATAGATAACCACTCAAGATACTGGAGTATTGAATGAAGTTTTATGGCCATTACATTATGAAATAAGGAGTGCAGTTTATGAGAATATGTAGCACAGATAACGTTTAATCTTAGACTTGAACAGGTTAATTTTGTATTGAATGATAAAACATGCACTGGGGATTTTGTTCTACCAAGCCGCAATTGTTGTGAACTAGTTTCCTGCATGAAGCGGAAACCTTTCAATGAAATACGATTGGAATATTGTTGGTCTGTCCCAGTGTACATCTCATGGTTGAAGTTCAAAAATAGTGGAACTAATGAATGTTGCTGACCAGAACATCTGCCTTGAAAATAGTAATAGTTCAGCAAGAGGCTGGCGACTTTTCGACTGTGTGAAAGCGATTGTATGGTAGAAAAATTAATCTCCCAGAAGGCCCCGTAGACTCTTTTGGAAAAGAAACAATCTGCGACAGATACAGGAAGCAATCGGTTCTGAAACTGCAACTGAGACAGTAGATCTCAACTCAAGGTCAGCATATACCTCGTATTATTTTTTCAACATATATACAACTTCTTTTGTGCGCCATGATAGATTTTTGATTTCGGTGTCAAGAAATAACTTCATTTAATATGCAAGGAACACAAAGGAATAAAAAGTAGATGTTTTCTTTACAAAAATCTTGCAGAAAAGTAATTAGATTTAATGCAATTAATATATATATAATTATCTAGGCCAAACTACAACATGTTTAACACGCAAACTCACTCTCCACCTTTCTGACCATAGCTCAATTAAATCTCATTTAAATATTCATGGAGACCTACAGGGCACTATTCGTAACATACCCGTTGACAACAAAATTATAATAGTATCATCTACATGCAAAAAAGGCTAAAAGTAATGGAAGTCTTATTAATAAAAACAAAACGAAAAACAAAAACAAAAAAGAAACACTTAATAATATCAACTATGAGCATGGACCGTGTTTTGAAAAATGAACACATTATATAAATACATACATGCAACAAAATATTTCTTATTTAACAGTTAAAATATTTAATCCTTGAAAATGGCTAAATGTATAGCCGAAAGCGCTCGGATAAAAAGAACATTTGATCTGAAAAGAAATAAATTATTAAATCGCATGAGAAATTGTATAAAAAAACTAAATAAAAGCACTTTGTCTATCCTATTCAATGAAATGTATATATATATATATATATATATATATATATGTGTGTGTGTGTGTGTGTGTGTGTGTGTGTGTGTGTGTTTGTATGTTCGTGCGTGTGTGTGTGAGTGTGTGTGTGTATTTGCGTGTAGAATTAATAAAAATATAAAACTTGTCACTTAGCTTTTTAGTGTTACCTTCAGGATCCCGACTATAGTGTTTCGTAGACGGACTCCCCTGCAATCACTCCGTCCACTCTGCAGAGGAGAAAATTACAATAACCTTTACTTTTAGTTGCCATATGTATTGAAGTTTCTATCACTGTTTTTTTCTTCTTTTTAAACTGTGAAATTAATAACAACAAATCCTCTGTCGTGAAGTTCACTTAAACAAAATTTTCTTCCCTACAGGAATAGAACCTGCAACTTTTTTTTCATTAGGAATCCACTTTTACAACCGAAGAGGGCTTTTAACAGTTTGGTCATAGGAGAATACCATGCTAAAGCGAGGTTTAAATTACTTGGTTAGGGGAGACATGTATCTCCTGTAGGGATGTATACAAATCTATATCTGCATTTTCGTACCCGAAAATTGAACCCAACTGTTTCTAATAATTATAAAAGTTATTTGTATTGTGTAAACATGACTAAATTACAATCGCTGTTTAGTATTTAAGCATTTAAATTAATGTCAGGAAGCCTAGATCGAGAACTCATATTAAAGAAAAACTATGCCTCCGACAGGAATTGAACATATATCCCCGTGAGGCAAACAACTTTTATTGCTGATACCAATTTGGCCACATGAGACCATCTTAATAAGCAAGAAGTCAAATTTTCCTGATGAAAAAAAATGGTGTAGGTTACATTCTAGTTGGTAGGCGCATTTTCCTTTAGTGGGACTTTTCATTCTAAGCCAATTGCTTCGAATTACATAGAACCTATATCTATAATTCTCAAAACGTCTGTGTATGTATGTATGTGTGCGTCTGTGTATGTATGCGCGCGTGTGATCGGATGTTGTTTATGCGTTTCCACATTTTTCATCCGATTTCGGTGAAATTTTTTTTTGTTTCATGTTGTTTCCTTAGTGCCGGTTTTGAGTCCAAATTGTCTGAAAAAAATTACAACCTTGATGAAAATAGAAAAAAAAAAAACTGATATTTTTTACACAAAAATCAAAGGAAAAATCTAACGTCCCTAAAAACAGCGTACAATCAATTTAGTGATTTGAAATCTAACGCAAACGATTATTAGAATTATTAAAAAAAAATGATATTATAAAAAAAAATTAACGTATATTAATATTATGACGGTCCATGGAAAAGGTTCCTTCCTAGCAAGATTGAGAACACAAAAATGGCTCTTTTCAGCTCCCCCTTCAATTTGTTAACTCCCCCCCTATTTGGAGATGTGCCTCAGTTGCACCCAATTGTTGTTATTGATTTTCGTGTAGGCTGACTTTAAACTTAAACTGCTCCAATTGAATGGCAAAAATTCCCAGTAGTGATACACCTGATCGAAGTCTGGTTATACTACTAGTAAGTAAATAAACATAACGTATATAAGAATAAGGAATAATATCGGATTAAAACTCTATTTTAGATTAGTATAGATACATAGATATACGTTCAGATTATATACTATAATCTTTTAATCACAAATTTCCGAAATAATAAGGCGTAATTAAAGAAAATATCAGCGATAAGAAAGCAATAACAAAAAGGATGAAACGCTAATTTAAACATTGTGATGCACCCGAATTTAACATATTATTTAATACATTACATTTAAATATTAATTTAAAGCTGATTTTCTCGGTATGACTAACTTTTTTGATGTCAATTCGAAATGGCATCTTTTGTATTTTTTCCTTACTTCATCTCCCACTCTTCTTAAATCCAGTAGCATTTATCGCTTTCTTTCCATTATAGATGGAGGTTTCCTTCCTAACCTTTTGTTTGAAGTAGTGTGGAATATCAACGTATTGATTATGCCATTATTTTCTCGGCGAGTTACATGTCCATTTTAGTTGTTTTTTTTATTAAAAGTGCTCAAGTGATTTGGTTTCTGTTATTTGGTATAGTTCTTTGTCAGTGATTCTGTAGCGCCAGGGGACGAGCTTCTAATCATCGCGCTAAAAACCTACAGGCGTCATTCGCTCGAGATTATTTTGATCATTGATCGCTGTTATACGGCAGTTTAGATATATACGTATATAAATGTCCTGATCTGAAGATGTAACTACATCCGGCAGCGAGACCATTAACAGAGAGATTGGAGATTTTGAGCAGCGTGGAATCACCTCTTAATTTGCTGTTGTTTCCAGGTCCACACTGACCCGGCGTGGTAGTACCTGTTAATGTCCCAGCTATGGGAACTCTCAAACAAAAACAAGACTATGAAAGTATGCAAATACTTTTTTATAGTAAAAATACCAGTAACACATTTTTATATATATAAAAAAATTACCAACAATGCGTAATTACAAACAATACAATTTATCCTTAGCTGAAGGCATAAAATTTTGTTCATAATATTTAGATTCCGGCATTAAATAATCCATAGAGGTGTTGATATGCCGCTGAAAAATTAACCTACATAACAACCAATCTGATTTTTGTTAAGTTTATTTTGTTTTACGGCATATCAACACCTCTATAGGTTATTTAATGCCGAAATCTAAATATTTTGGACGGAGTTGTATGCCTTCATCTATATATATATTTAATACATAACATCATATTTTCAGGTCAAAAGCTTGTTTTATCGATATTGGGTTTGTACGTGTTTCGTTTAATGTGTTACAATCGTTATTATAAACATATTCCTTTAAGGTTGGTTTGGTTTGGTTTATTTTGTTTTACGGCTTATCAACACCTCAATGGGTAATTTAATGCCTACAGTATTTTTAGGATAAGGTCGTAGGAAGTTAATATGTATTCTTTGTAAGAAATCAGGCTGTAGATCAGGTTTCATTGATGTATTTTCGTAAAAGGTTTTTTTGTCGAAAGTCAAATTTATTACTGGTAATATTTTTTTCTTTTTTCAAAGATTTATTGCTGGTGTTTTTTTTATTAAAAAAATCTATTTTTATGCTTTCATAGTGTTTTAAATCTGTTTTCGGAGTTAACTATTTGCCTATAGCTGGGACCCTAACAGACGTTACCACCCCAGTTCAACATCAATTAAGAGGTGGTTCCAAGCTCCCCAAAAGCTCTCGTTCAGAGTTCTTGCTTTCGGACGTCGTTTATCGTCATACCGAGGACGACAACCAGTCTGACGGCGTTACCTAGGAAGATGGCGGGATTTAGGTTAATGTTTTGTAGCAATTTTCGGTGTTGGGTGAAACAACGCCTACTACAGCCTATTCTATATTCAGTTTCCTTCTGTCCTAGACGGATGTTAATTTTGAAGTAGTTTGGTATTTATGAATCCCATGTCCTTTGAAATACAACAAAATAAATCAGGAACATGGCAAAGACAGAAATAGAAATCAATTATGAATGAGAGAGAGAGAGAGAAAGAAAGAGAGAGAGAGAGAAATATAGGTGAGAATTACCATTTATTTCGGGTAAAATGGTGAGAGATTGGTCAATGGTAAATCAGACAGATGTGTATTCTGAAGATTAAGTAAACGGGAAACGTTGGTTATAACAAATCAACTGTTGTGCATATGTTATACCAGAACATACTTATTCTATTGTTAATAGACTCCCCCACACATAGTAAGTAGTAGTAGTAGCAGTTGCCAGAGGGAGCAGAGTGAGTTGGTGAGTCAGTCGATGTCAGACATTAAAGTATCAACCACCACAAGTAGATTGCTGCGTCATTAACTATTATTTCAAGTTCCTAACGTTTTGTACGT